TACGTTATTTCTATTCACAAGGCGTCGGTACTTCGGCTGACAGTTTGAATATAACCGAAAGTTCATAAATTATTAGAACTAACACGGATAAAGTGGAATTCTATAATGTGTGTCTTGAAATTCATTTATTTGAAAGGCCGAAAATTATAGTGTAATTTACAGAACATTGGGTAAAACTTAATTTCGTGATAAATTATTATTTAACAAATAATAATAGATGTAATAAATCATACAAACCGTATTATTCCCTTCTATTACAATAATCTTATCTCTTATAATATTAAATCTATATCAACGTAAAATAAACGATGCAAATATATAAATAATATATGCATTCGAATTTAAAAAAAAACACACACACACAAAAAAAAAAAAAAGAAAAAACAATAAAGAGAAAATTTTAACCAAATTTTTCATGAAATTAAAAAATGTATTTTATAAACCATTTATTGTACCGTATGTAGAAAAAATAATCGTATTATTCTACACGTATAATCGCACATTTACGAATTTGGTATCCACTTTCTAAAGCTCTTTTAATTGGAAATTTTATGGAACCAGCACAATCAACGAGATTTTCATCGATTTCGTTTATTATTTTGTGAAGACAAAAAAATAGAGAATAAGCGAGAGAGAGAGAGACAGACAGATAGAGAGAGAGAGAGGAAAAGAGAGGGAGAGATAGGAAAGGAGAAGGGGAGGAAGGAATTAGATTGATATGACTATACATTTAATCGACATGAAGTTTAAATAGAAATGATTCTTTCGCCGATCGAATGGACGGTACGAGAAGGCTTGCGAGATTAAAACGAACTCATATATTTCATTCCTCGTGGTTTTCATATATCTATATATATATATATATATATATACATATGTATATATAAATTTATATACATGTATATATAGATATATGCATACCTATACGTACATAACATTTTTTTTCTTTCATTTTTTTTTTTTTTCCCTATCCAGAATTTTACGATGGGCGTTTATTAATCGTTTATACAAACACACGACCGCGATTTATTTAACGATTGAGAAATCTCGTGACAAAGATAAGCGTTATTGTTTTTGCCGAGGGATAAAATCATTGGAAAACGACGGATTCATTAGCCATTCATTTTACTTATCGCGTTAATTTCGATTAAGCCGGAGTTCCATTTATTTTCCAATTTCTCACGTGTGTATGACTTTACTTTTTAATGCATTTTAATTTAAATTACGAAATTGTGTATAAATTTTATTTAGTGTATATATTAATGTCGTAGAGTTGTTCGTGATTTTTTAAGGAACAAAAAGTTAATTAATGTTACCATATTACTTAACGGCAACCGATTTTTGGGTGTTTATTGACCGGAAGTTTAAAAATAAGCTTTTCGTTGATTTCGGCTATCGATCAGTCAACTACAAGTAGGTTATACTTAATTATTATTTTTTAATATTTCATATTTTATTTCTTTAACATTTGATTCTTTTTAGTATTATTATTTTTATATTAAATGAACACAAATATATTAAATTAATAAAAATCATCTTAAATCGATAGAAATAATAAATTATCTGTTATTATAACGTGTAGACAATGGACTTTCCCACTCGAATATTATTAGAAATTTCAATTTAAAGGTTTCTATGAGAATTTACTCGAAATGGTTGAATTTATTAGATTTGCTAAAATCATTCTCACGAGGAAATCATAAAGCGCCTTAGATAAGATCGTTTTTCTCGACATAGAACATTTTGTCTCCATCAAAATCATTCTCATTTCATTCACAGCTTCCAGGAAGTGCAGGTAATTCATTATTTTCGACAACGGCATAACTGTTTCTTTGAAAATCATAAAAATTTTAACTGTATATTTAAATAGAAAATACATATTTCCATGTAGCTAAATATCCTATGCCGAGTCTTCAAAATTAAGCACAAATACAAATTTTTATTTGAGAAAAATTGAAGATAAATAAAACAATATTTCAAATAAAAGTCGCTTATTTGTTCCCATTTGATATATCTCCATTATAAACAAAATGTAGATTTATTTAAAAAAAAAAAAAAAATTAAATGGACTTTAAAACCTTTCACTAAATAAAAAACAATACATCTTATAACCCATAAATTCAGATTTAACTCTAAAATTTGCACACACAACGTTTGGTATACAATTAAAAAGAATAATATTTAGATAAAATTCGGTACGATTTAAAAACGATTTAAATTATTAAATATATTCATTTATTGAGAAAAAGGAAAAACAAAATATTTATATATATACATATGTGTGTGTGTGTGTATGTATAAATATATGAATGAAACATATATCTATTAGTACAGTTATAGAATTTCTCAAGATGATGAGAGATCCTTTCAGTCGTGCGAAAGAGCATACGTAAATTAGATGGACTTGGAGTAGGTCGCTGAAAGCGTAATGGTGGTACGAAACATAAATCGTTTGCATAGGACAACAATATTGCTATGCAAAGAGCGACTCCTATATATATAGTTATAGAAGGAAGAGAAACGGAGAGAGAAAATCGGCTTGTATATTGAATATATACATAGGTAAACGATAACGACTGTTCGTTCGCGATGTCGTTACTTTAATGTGTTGCTATGTGTTCTATGATACAGAACTACGACAATGATGAAAACAATTACACCGAAAACAATAAGTATCGATATATTGACATATCATAAATTATAACTATTTAATTGTAGTATAGCGAACCTAATACATTGGTGTTAATCTACTAAATTCGGAATATTCAAGTTGGATAATATATTATATATTTCGAACGAAAGTTATATTTTTTTATTTAGCATAATTTGTGATAAGATAAAATACATTGGTTCTTATTAAATTAAAAAAAGAAAAAGTTGATCTGGAAAATTTTTAAATAATAAACGAAAAATAAATATCATCTTTTTTCTTTAAAATCATTTAACTCTCTTAAGTGAATCAATTTTCTATATAAGTTAATTTCAATGAATATTTTACAAAATTATCTCGTGATATTTATACTTTTAAAATGTTCAAATAAAATATCGGATCATGTAAAAGAAAAAAAAAAAGAAGAGCCAAAGTACAATTTCCTTAAAATCAACGTTGATATTTCGAAAAGAAAATAATAATTTCTAAATAAATAAATATACGAATTTGTAAGAGATACGAGAATAGAAGTATAAGAAAATAGGAGAATGAGAAGAAGTTACATTACGTTTCTTGGTCTCCCATAGAATCTTATCTCAGGCATCTTTGCTAGCCGTACTTGAAAGAGGCAACGTCAGCGCGTCGTTGAAACTTTTCTGATAACTCGTATATCAGAAAAATAAAAAAGACAAGGATAGAAGAAGAAGAAGAAGAATAGATGCTAAACAAAGATTTAAAGAAAGAATAAAAGAAAGATAGAAAATTAGAAATAGAGAAAAAGAAAGAATCTTTTTGAAAAAGTATTGTCATATGTTGAAATACAGATTTGCTTTCTCTTTCTTCTCTCTCTCTCTCTCTCTTTTCCTCTTACAAATTTCATTTGGAAATTCGTACAATTTCGCGATGACAAGTATGAACGTTACTCGAAATTAATGATATAAACGACAACGAGAAAAAAACGAGAACGATAAGATTGTATAAAAGAAACGTACAAAACTTTCAAATAAATTCATTTGACTAGCTCAAAAGAGAGTTGAATATTTATGTTCTTTTACGAAACTTTTTCGTTATTATAAATCAATGTTCTATTCCTTACGAATATGACGCTTAATCAAAAACTTCGAATTCGATGAGGATGACATTTTTAAAGGTACAATCATTACCAATAAGTAGCAGACCAATAGCTCGTTCGATTAACTTCGCTTCTGTTTTAACAAAGTACACAAATATTTACTCGTCAACTGAGTAGAATCAACCGTGTCCAATTATCGCACCTAACTCTAAGCTATTTTATCTTGCTCGCTAACTTCCCCAACGATATGCAAAGCGACTCTATTAATTCAGCGAGCCGCCTAAGAGGAGAAAGACCTCGCGAAATCCTGAAAGCCAGTCTAATCTCCTATACATATACTAACACATATACTATACTATACTATAATATACTATAATATACTATATTATGCTATACTATACTATATTATACTATACTCTACTATAATATACTATACTATATAATATTTCATTATACTATACTATACACGAAGTATATGTACATCGGAGTGGTGGCATCGTCTTTCGTATTTCCCTTTCCTGAATTAAGTTTCCCAACCTCCGAGGATTAATTTTCAATTGTAGCCAACGATAAAGGACTCATCCTGCCACGTTGTGCCTGTTACTTCCTAACCACCAACAAAAATTCGAATCTTCGGCTAAGGCCAATTTCACTTTCTTCTTTCGAACAATTTCCATTGAAAACTTTTTGATCTGTTTTCAATCTACATTGAAAAAATATATTCTATTCGCTTGACGCGCGTAGAATTGAAATAAAAATAAACATATCATGACAATATCTATCATTTCCACTTGATCATTTCAAAACAAATAGCTTTGTATCTATTCATTCGTTATATCCGTTTGAATGCAATAATCGATTACACCCTCATTTTCAGATACTTTATTTCATTAATAATGAATCAATTAATGGAATATCTACTTTTTTAAATGTTCACTTTTATACTTTGTTATTGGGGGAATGAATTAATTGTCTATGAAAACTAGTCAGGCATATAATATTCATTTCCCGATTGGATTAAATTAATTTAAAGAGAATAGAAAAGAATGATACTTTTATATATAATTACTTATCTCTGCTCTTCTGAATGTTATTTTTCAATAAATTAATTTAATTATTTCTTTTTCTCTCTCTCTCTCTCTATCTTTCAATCTACAGATATATCTTAGAAAAGAGAGAAAATATATACATATAAAGTTTAATTAAAAATATTTGATGGAAATGTAATATACGAAAGTAAAAGTAATTTCTTTTTTTCCTTTTTATTTATTTTTTCAGATGACCCTCCAAGTTTCATGGATCCGGCACAGGGACATTCACTTACTGACGATCGGTCAGTACACATACACGAACGATCAGAGATTTCGTGCAATTCACAAAGCTCAATCGGAGGATTGGACGCTCCAAATAAAATATCCGCAACATCGAGATAGCGGTATTTACGAGTGCCAGGTCTCGACAACTCCGCACATGAGCCATTTCGTGCATTTGAACGTGATCGGTGAGTTAGTATACCCCTCTTTTTTCGAAATTAAAAATAATTCATCTTCTTGTCTTTTTTTTTTTCTTTTATTTTCTTTACGGTTTCCTTTTTTCCCAATCAAACTCGTCTTTATTAAAAAAAAGTATAAAGAATTTGATCGAGCCACGAGTGGTTTCCGTGGTTTCGTGTCTTTTAATGAAAAGAGACGTCACGATTGGTTAAAATAAATAGTAACAGTGTCGTGTTCAATCAGCGGGCAATGTACATACACACGACAATTAGTTAATTCTAATCTGTAGCTGTCCCAGTTTACTATCGTCTAGTCCCCGTTCCCTGCTACGCCCGAATTTAAGCTCAAGCTTAAAACTTGGACCAATGCCAATCGAACACCTACGATTGCTCTCTGATATCTTCCATTCGTATTAAACATTAATTACAAATAATCATACCATTCATTTTTTTTCTTTTTAATAACGTTTATTTCCACGCTTAGTATCTCGCAATCTTTTTCTACTTTTATTACATTCAAAATAATAATAATAATTAATTCTATATCATGTTACACTTAAATTTTCAAAAAAGTTTCATTTATATTTTAAGCAATTTAATTAGATACTAATGTAACATCGTTTCAAAAATCTTTATTACCATAATAATAACAAAAAATGATTATCTCAAATGTTGTGCGACAAATTTCTTACTGGCTTGAAAGTAAATTACTCAACGTGATTTTCATTTTGTATTTTTTTTTCTTGTTTTTTTCCTTTTGGCTCGATCGATCAAAAAATTTCATTTAAAATTTAATAGTTTTTTATATTACTAAACTCAAATATTATAAATCTCTGAGATATTAACAGTCAATAAAATATATTTTATTTGAATCTAAAACAACGAACGAAGAAAAGAAAAGAAATAAAAAAAAAAAAAAAAAAAAAGAAAAAATCGATTAAAAATAGTCATTCCATTCGTATACAAAAAATATTGAAAATCTAACTCGATTTTCTAACTAGGAAACTCATGAACTAATACACACATAACCGATATTAAATATAATTTACTTTTCGAACTAGTCTATCGATGTTGCCTCAACTCGTACATTTCTCCTTTCTCAAGTATTTAATCCAAGTCGTTATATTTACCCAATCTACATTCGGAATCCTTCTTACACGAATAGACACACACACACACACATATACGCGCGCATCAACGTATTTATACAACGTACTTACACACTAAAAATCGATCGAGTTTACAATTTCGAGATATCGTCAAAGCGACTTAGTTAAATCTCAAGGATGAACGTGAAAGTTTCTGATGAAACGAGACCGAAGAAACTTTCGTAGGGAAATCGTTTTGAAATTTAAAAGGAAAATGAAGAGAAAAAAGAGTAGGAGGAGGAGGAGGAGGAAATAAAAGCGGAAGAATAAAACAAAACCATAAAATAAAGAAAAAGAAAATAAAGAAATAAAAAAAAAAAAAAAAACAAAGAAAGAAAGAATAAAGAATATAGAAAAGAAATGGAAATAGAAAAGGAAAGAAATAGAATTCATTTAAAAATCGTTTCAACTAAATCACGAGCCTTGATTTACATCGCGAAGCTACTTCTAGATGACCCTTTCGAATGAGTTACGAGTTACGAGCCCGAAGTTACCCTTTAAAAAACGTCGATCCGGAAAAGAGCCTCTTTAAATTCTGAAATCGTGTTATACGTATGCGTTTAAGAGGGCTGGAATGAAAAAAGAGGGTAAGGCCATCCTTATGGGTAGCTCACGATTTTCTTCTTATTTTCAACGTGGCCAATCCTAAAAGATGAAACGTATGAGAGAAGATTACATATATGTATATCTAAGAAAAAAGAAGGAATAGAAAAAGAGAGAAAGAAAAAGAAAAGAAAGATCTGAGTCTATGTAAACGTGAGAACGAAATGGATCATTTATCATTCCTGACCATGACCCCTAACACAACCCAGTTAACAAATGATCCTAAAGAGCAACGACTATACTTAGTTTGTGCTAGGCCCTCGACGAGTACTTGTACTTTTCTCCTTCGTTGAGTAATTACTTACGATCAAAGAAGAAGAAGAAGAAGAAGAAGAAGAAGTTAAAAGAAAGAGGGGAAAAAGGGGAAAAGGGAAAGGGAAAGAATAAGAGATAGAAAAGGAGAAAAAAATGGAAATAAAGGATACGTTATCCCTTAGAGTTTGTACTTTCATTTGTGGAACAAATCCAACGAAACTGAGGTCGATAAAAAGTTTTCGAAGTAACGATTCTCACAAAATGAAATGATATTATTGCGTTTAAGCAATGGCGATCGTAAGCTCGTTTATTTCGTTAATATATAATATAAATTATATTTCTATTTATCGGAGATATAAATCGGTTATATTTCTTTCGATCAGTATCAATGTTATTATTGACGATATTTATATATATATATGCCAGGTGATTCATAAATTGACGTCAATTCTTTAAAGAATAAATCAACGCGCTAATATAAACTAGAAAAAAATATCATACAAAAATATGACGCATATGTATATATATATATATATATATATATATATATATACCAATCGATCAAAAATTTTAACATTCAGAATTGTAACTGAAAATGAATCCCGTTTGTCACACGATCGAATATAGATATATATATAAATATAGATATAGATATATTTTATAATTCAATATAGAGAAAAAAAAGCAAGTATAAAAAACGTTTCACAGTATCATTCGATTTTTCTCGAACGTTTCAACACCCGGCAGGATTCTTGCATAGGACAAATGACAAAATCAATAAACCGACTTTAGATGGGTCAACATTCACAGCTAGCTTTCATCCGACAGCGGATCTCGAACTTTCAGTTACCAAAGCGTCCGCAAATATTTCCACGGACGAAGCAATCCCCTTCGGTTAACTGTAATTCTATTTACTCTTTCCATTACTATTTCCCTCAGATACCGTTAACTGCCATTTTTATTTCGCATTCCTGTTAATTTTGATAGAAAACTTTTTTCTAAATTTCCCAAAACGGCCAATGGTGGTATCTACCGATTTAAGAAATATTATCAATCCAAATTTCATCACTTTCTTATCGTCTTATTTTATCTACTTATTTTCATTTAACTTTCAATATTTTGTCTTTTTCTCTGTTGATCTCTTTTTTTAATTTTTTTTTTTTTTTTTTTTTTTTTTTTTTCTTAAAAAGAAACAGAGCAAGAAAATCTTGCAGAGAAAATTAATCCACGCATGAGACACGTCATCATCGTCGTCGTCGTCGTCGTCGTCGTCGTCGTCTTTGACACGTAAGAAGTCTCTCTCAAAAAAGCTACTTTAATTATCATTAACATCCAACTCGAGATCAGTGCTCTTCTCTTTCGTCAACGCCTTCGAAAAATGATTTAGCAATGATAACACTTCGAGTATTCTCTTACGAACTTTATCTAAAAATCGTGTTATTAACATTTACATATGTATTTTCTAATAAAATCGATGATACATTTATCTTTTTCTATTGACTTAAACGTTTATTCAATTAAAACTGATTTTCTTTATTTTACGAATAATTTTCATTATAGATAAATGTATGTATGTATGTAAGCACTTATATATGTATGAGAAAACAAGGAAAAGACAGAAAATACTTTGAATTATTTAAAGCACATCCTCGTTTCTCTCTCTCTCTTTTTCTCTCTTTCTTTCCATCTATCCTTCTATTCATTTAATTTTTCATTCAATTTGAAAATTTTTCTCTTCGAATTCCAGACAACTTGAATGACATTTAAAATATCTTATCTCTTGAATGACATTTACGACATTTAGGTATCCAACCAGATAACCAATTCGGTTTTATCTCTTTTTTCTTTCTTTTTTCATTTCTTTTTTTTTTTTTTTTACTTCATTTATATCTTTTTATTACTTTTTACTAACACCCTCCGTTCCGACGACTTTTATTTTTGTTATTCAAAATTATAATATTTCAAATATATTATAACTAAATAATATAAAACTATACTACACTAATTCTCTAAACTATAATACTATCTCTGGTGGTGGAACAAAAATTATAAGACTAAGTTTTGTCCAAATAAAATACAAGTACGTTAAAATATTCTACATTTTCGTCTATTACTTATGGTTTATTATATTTTGCAAGTCAAAAAAATTATATATTATTATAATATCAAAATTAATTATTTTACATTATCTGTCCATTAGAAATCTTTTTCTCGATCAGCTTAAAACCCTTGGTTTTAGAAATAAATAATTGTTATTAATGCAATTAATGTTTAAAAAAAAAATGACTTATTTTAAAATGAGTAATATAATTTATTTAATTGTAAATTTTCTTTAATTTATCAATCTGAATGGGACTATAATTTGGTAATTTAAATAATTGTATAACATAAGAGTTGTTTTACTGGTTGATAATTTTTTACTAAATAAAAATTATCACATTATGAAATCTATATTATGTTTAATTAATTTTTTTGTCTACATAACGTTTCTAATTACCTTAAAGATAATAAGTGATTCTTGTTAATGAAATAAATTACAGTTATGGATTAATTGATCTCATTTGAGTAAACTCTGTAAAGTTTAAAAATTACGATTCGTTACTTATTTTACAATACACGTGAACTTCAAGTATTATTAAAGTGTGAAGCTTCACCAGGCAAGAAACCCATTGCGTGAGCTCACATAGAAAGCATCGTATTTCATATCCCATCTCTCTCTCTCTCTCTCTCTCTCTCTCTCTCTCTCTCTCTCTCTCTCTCTCTCTCTCTCCCTCCCTCTATTCTACACTGTCGTATACATCGAAAGTCTCTTTTTCCTTCTGCATGCACCACAAATTGCAATATTCAAGCTTTCTACCTAGCCGAGCTACTTCGCTTGTTGCATAACAGCTTCCATGTACTTTCAACCTTATCTTCTCTCTCTCTCCCTCTTCTCATCTCATCTCCCTTTTCACCTATCTAAAGCCATCCTTTACGAACGGATAAAAGCTCGTAATCATACTG